GGCTTGCTTTTAATTTTAATATTGTTCAGCTGCCACTGTTTCTTGGTATAAAGAAAGAGTGATAAACTATTGTAGTTCTGCTTTCAACAAAGGAAGAATTCCCATGAAAATACTTTGCTTATAACCTCCTCACAGGAGGTAAGAGTAATGCAGATGAATATTTACTTACAATTTTCATTTGAGGGCGTGTGTATTTGTGGGTGTGTGTAAAAATTTCCAACCTATGTAAAGGAAGAAGGAAATAGTCCAAAACCTGCTTATTTCTAGGAATACTTAAGGGGGGTCTACATAAAGCAGTGCTTCTGCACCTTGCATAAATTATGGACCCTTTTTTTCTCCACTTATACAGAAGCCTATTTCAGAAACCAGTCTTAGAGAGTAGAGTTTTATTCTATGAATAATATTCCATTATTACTGCAGATACCTTTTGTATTTGGAATAGTGATGGTTTATTTTGAATTATCTAAATGAGACCAAAATGAAACTTGATCTAAACTTTGCCCTTGCTTTGCCAAAGCATCATTAATTTTCATACCTGCTGAACATTGTTGGAGTATTAGAAACAGGCTCTTCCTGCCATCAGTAATTGTGATGGATCTTTATTGAGGTACATTTGAAGAACAGTCTGGTGACATTTATATTCACCTTAACAACGTTATTAAAGACATAGGTTACTCAGTGTCTTCCTTCTACTGTTACTCTCTCTCTGAGGCTGTCTGGGTTCCATGGCCACTTTCCTACAAGATCTTTCAATTCCATGTATGTTTCTATCTGCTCTAAAATAAGTGCTGACCTACTGGACAGGTAGCAGTCATCTGCTTCCCTCACACCCAGTCAGCTTTCGAGTGAAAATCCATCCTGATTTGTAGCCTCGCTCTCAGCATGCAGGTGTTTGCTCTTCAACAACCTCCGTGAGTGTGTCTGGACCACATTCTTCTGTTTGTATATCACATAATTTTGTCTTGTATCCTAGACATATTGAATGTTATATTGTGGAGACTCTGGATTCTCTTCTAGTCCTCCAAAAAATAACGTTTTTAACAACTTGGTCGGCTCAAGCTGAACACTGATTTTGGGGTGGCAGCTCAAATCTTATTTCAATTATTTTTTATTCTTATCTGAGTTACTTTGAATTTGCCCAATACATAGATATCCAAGAGTCATTTGGAGATTTATGTAGAATTTACACACGAAATTTGGGGCCCTCTCTTTGCTCTCACTAGTCTGATCTACCCGTCCGCCTCCTTTCTCAGTGGATGTGACTGCCCCACACCCGCTTCACTGGTACCTCTGGCTAGAATACTGTGGGCTTTTTCTTTTAGTCCAAGGTTTAACTCCATTGCAAACGTGTTGATTGCAGACTTCTCTCAGGCAGTAACCTGTAAAAAATGGGTTACTGCCTGAGAGAACTAGCTCCATTACCTTTTTTGAGCTGAATCCTCCCGTCCACAATCTGCTATTTTCCATTCTGTGCATCCATGTATTTGGTTTTCTGTTTTGGGTTGGGGGTTAGTTTGGCTTTTGTTCAGAGCTTATAGTTCTTATCTCTTAGAATTTTACTTGTGCGTATTCATAGCAGAAGTTGAAGAGGTTGTTTATCATCTGTTGTATTCTCCTTAAAAAAAATACAATTTTACTTTTAAAACATTAATTGAGGACATTAAATGTGAAAACTCAGATACAATGCAAGGTTGTGAATGATGTCATCTTCTCCACAGAGAGTTTATTGTGCTCCCAGCTGACAACTAGGCTAGAAACACCAGCTACCTCACATCACCTTTATCCAATTTAGGTTGAGACAGTTTCGAGATGGATTTCGGTCCCTAGGCAGGCTAGTCTATGTCTACTTCTCACCTACTCTTATTTTTCAAGGCCCTAGAGTTTCCTGTTCTCTTACAGACTCTGAAAACCACTGTTCGGTTTTCTAAACCCCAGGGTCTGTTGATAGCTCTGCTCATCTTCTTTTTTTTTTTAACGTCTTTATTGGAGTATAATTGCTTTACAGTGGTGTGTTGTTAGTTTCTGCTTTATAACAAAGTGAATCAGTTATACATATACACATATCCCCATATCTCTTCCCTCTTGCGTCTCCCTCCCTCCCACCCTCCCTATCCCACCCCTCCAGGTGGTCACAAAGCACCAAGCTGACCTCCCTGTGCTATGCAACTGCTTCCCACTAGCTATCTATTTTACGTTTGGTAGTGTATATATATCCATGCCACTCTCTCATTTCGTCCCAGCTTTCCCTTCCCCCTCCCTGTGTCCTCAAGTCCATTCTCTAC